GCGGGTGGGGGGCCGGGGGGAGGGTCAGCCCCCCGGCCGGGGCGGGGACGGCGCCCGAGCCAGGGTCAGACCCCCGGCCGGGGCTGGGGACGGGTCATGGGGCGGGGGACAGGGCCTGAGGGGGGGTGTGGGACACGGGACAGGGCCTGAAGCAGGGGGGACCCCCCCAATCGGGGCCGAGGGCTGCTATGGGGCTGGGCACAGGCCCTTGGCAGCTCTGTGGTGGAGGTGCTGTGGTGGCCAGTGTCCCTCAGGCAAGGGGCTCACCCCGGTGCCTTTGGGTTGGGGAGCAGGAGCAAAACACCTCTGCACACCTCTCTTGGGCATGCTCGTGGTGTTGTTTTCAGTTCCAGTGAACCTGGCAGCACAGGTGTACCCACAGAAACTCCAAAGTGCCGTGCAGTCCACTTCCTGGGAGGAAGAAGGAGATACCCCCCTCCAAAATGCAACTTGCTCTGTAAAACCCTGGCAGAAAATTCCTCTTCTCCCACTCTCCACGATGGAACAGTGGGAGGGAAGGTATATAAACTCAGTGAGGAATACAAGGCATTTTTTTAAGATAAAATCTGTGATGTCCCTCAAGAGGTGTGCTGTTTGAGGGGACAGTGGCAGAGGTGGCGCACAGGCAGTGACCGCCTCAGGACACGCTGAAGCGGTGCAGTGCTGTCGGGGACCCCGGAGTGGCACAGAGAGACCCTGCCGCAGCACTGCTGGGTTCAGAGAAAACCACGGTGTCAAGGTGTACCACACTTAACGTGTCAAATGGTGCCTCTTTGTCAGCAGTGGACAAATAGCCACCTTTGCCTGTAGCTGCCATGGGAGACACTCGGGAGCACCAGATTGGGAGGGATCGCTGCATCAAGGTTCAGAGCTGGGCTATGGCAGGCAGCCACACCTTGTAGTCTTCTTCAGACAACTCGCAGGCTTTGTTTTGACCCCAGTCCATTTTTTGTCCCACTGTTTTTACTGAAAGACTGGTCTGAAACTTCCCTGCTTTGATGTTTGAAAATGGCCTCCTGATTTCCAGCCTAAATTTATTCACGGCCAAATTATATTCATTGCACTTGTGCCTAGTCTGCCCACTAGCTCTTTTCCTTCTTACATCTGAGTTGATGTTATCTGCTTTTGTTTACCAGTTTTTCTGCTGACTGGAATTATGCATGGAAAAGAAGTTTCCCATGCCCTAAGAGAGGTTATTTTAACCTCTCTGAAGGAGCTAAATAATTATTCTTGATCTGAGTGTGATCACATGCAGGGCTTATTGGATAACAGCATCATTTATTCATAAAGGGATATTTATACCTTCAGTGTAAATACTGTTTTGAAATTGTTTTTTATGAAGACCCATTAAAAGTGTTTATAATGTTTTCCATGTTCTGCTCTTGTTTTTGTAAGGCCCTAAGCAGCAAGAAGGGAGTAGGTGAGCTCAAAGATTGTGATGTGAAACTGTGCTTGATAACAGAGGAGTGAATCACCATTAAGATTACGGCGAAATTGCCTGTGTACCTAGTGATGCCAAGCATAGAAAATACAGGAATCAGAAGGGGATGAGGGAAGGGAAGAGAGACGTTTTAAATGCTGACGTTTTTCAATTTTCGTTATTTTAGGTGTGAGCAAAACATCATCCAACAATCTTTGTAGGCTTAGGAAAACATCATCTGCAAATCTGATTTGAAAAGCTATGATTCCCTTGGTATCTTTGTAGGACTAAAATCCCCGGTCTCTTCAATTAAATTATCATTTTAAGTGTGTTTAAGCTGTTAGTGCTTCTTTAAAAAGCAGTCCTCTTCCCTTCCTCTCCTCCCTCCTGCTCCTGCCATCCCATCCGCCCACTCATGCTGTTCTGGGCACACTGTGCAGTACAAATGCTTCTGCTGTCACTCAGTAAAACAGGCTGGGGAACTGATCTGACTAAAGAATTGGACTGGTTTTTAGATCAATTTTTTTCTGCCTGGATCAGGTCTCTGGTGGAGTTCACCCCACACGCGCTTGTGTAAGTGGGGTGCGGGGAGCAGAGCAGGGGCCTGTCCCTGACCTCCTTGGCGAGAGCTCGTCGCAGATTGCCCTGCCGATACTGTGCAGGACTCTCTTCATTACCAGGCAGTATTTAGTGACAGCTATGCAAAGGCTTTTGGACAAAGAAAGAACGAAAAGATGCAGCTGTTTGTCTAAGGAGACAGCTAAAAGGGACTTGATAATAATGTATAGAGCATTTGAGCTGCAGACAAAAGTAGGCTGAAGACTTCTGTCTCCGTAAGAAAAGTATCAAGCGGCATTCAGTGGAACCAAAGAAAGGCACTGAAAAGCATTAGAAAGCCCTTTTTTTCATGCGGGGTCTCACAGCCCTGGTACTGACTGCCGCAGAGCTGCTGCTGAGTGGTACCAGGATGTCGAAAGGACGGGTATTTTAATAGTAATAGTTATGAAAGCTAACTAAGACTTTTGGGAAGGCTGCAAGCCTTCCCAACTCCATAAACAAACCAGCCCATGGTTACTAGGGGTTCAGAGCACATTTCCCTAACCACCCGCCTTCAGGATTCCTGCATGTTTGTTTGGCAGAGAGCTGGTATGGTCAGAAATGGGACGTGGTTTCAGAGGGCTGGAGGGATGTGGTGTTCAAACTGCTGTGTGAGAAGCTCCCTCTGCTGAGAAAAAACAAAATCTATTCGGCCGCCTTGAAGGAAAAGCCTGGAGCGGGGCTTTCTGTGTGACACTGGCAGGTTGACACGTGTTGTTCTGGGTATGGGCTTAAGAAGTGTTAAGAGCTTTCATACATCCAGTAATTGAAGAAAAATGTCAAATTTCAGCTTGAGGGCTTTAAGGAAAATAATACAGGGGAATATTATCAGCTGTTTTATGGACTGATGATTTCAGAACAACTGCCAGAATATTCCAGAGGGGTGACACATACTTGCATATTACCTCTGAAATAAAAAAAGTCGCTTTGTGGCACAGCCGGATTTAAAGCCAGCCTGGCCTGGGGAGCGCTCTGTGCCTTTCTGAGGCAAAGCAGGGCTGTGCCGGGCAGGAGAAGCGCGTACCCCACCTAATGCCTGACAGCCACGTGCTGGGGTTGGGGTACATTTCCAAGGGACGTGAGGAAGGGCAGCCAAACACTGCTAAGTCCTATTGATAGTGTAAACCTGAATGGAAAATAGCTGGTGTGATGGTCCTACCTGTCTGAAGAGCAGGGACTTAGGAACTGGAGTGGCTC